AAACACGCACATATATCTTTTACACTATGAGTACTTATAAAATGCATTGCAAAAACGGGGCTAACTGTAAGAGGAATATATGTTGAGGGTTGTGATTGTTGGGGGAGATAATTCTGAAGTCAAACACTGATACTGCATACCGCTAATTCAAAACATGCATCTAGCAGTGAGAAAATACAATTTGTGTTGACAATTGGTGAACAAAACGTCATGCACTGGGATTTGTAAAGGGGCCAATATGAAAATACCTAATAATATTCAACTACACATTTCCAAATAAATCTATTCCTTAAAATTTATTGGAAGAGAAACTTGTATTTACTGTATCTGGGCTAGAAGGATCTGTTGTATTACGGTGATCTGGCGGGATTAGGCACCCTTCCTGTAACAGAGACAATCCCCAAATTCTGACACACAGCATGTTTCTCGTGGTCTTCCAATTTCAAAATGATTAACTTCAAATGTATTTTCATTTCTTATGGTATCAACATGTTATCTTGAAATTCCAACTTACTTATCTTGACGAGTCTTTGAAAGGCATTTAGAAGTGATACAGATAAAGGCGAGAATTCATGGCTGTCAACTTCTTTATTTTGAGGAACACGACGTTTCGGAGTACATGTATATTCTTACTCGTTCATCTGGTTATTCACAAGAATTTACTCCGAAATAGCTTACACCTTAAAATATAGAATATGATGTCCACATATTCTCGCCTTTATTCAGCTTAATATCTTGAAATTTCAACTTCCATATCTTACAATTTGAAGAAAAAAACGAAATAAAGACCGAATTATCCGTACATACGGAAGCCTTTTAGGGCTATTCGTTTTTGTACTTTTTTCTTGAAATTTCACGATACTACATTGAAATTTCAAGATACATATAATGTTGAAATTTCCAGACAATGATCTAGAAATTTCAAGATGAGAATTTAAAATGATATCTTGAAATTTTACGTTACGATCTAGAAATGTGACGATAATAAGTTGACATTTCAATCAAAAAATATATAATGAATATCCCCTAAAAGGCTTTCGCACAAAAGATTCTATGAAATTGGAATTTCAAGATAAGTAAGTTGAAATTTCAAGATAACATGTTGATACCATAAGAAATGAAAATACATTTATTGTGAATTATTTTGAAATTTTAACTTCTTATTTTGAAATTTCCTTCGTGGGAATTGTAGAAGTTGGGATGATGAAGAATGATTGTACTTGTTATGGATATACCACTTCTTTATTGCGCGAGAGCCGACGTTTCGACATACATGTAGATTCCAATGTCGTTGTCAGAAAGTGATGATCACCTGCTTAACGACATTAGAATCTATGTCGAAATTTCAACTTAACATGTATCTTGAATTTTCAGCTTACTATCTTCAGTTTTCAAGAAAAGAACGAATGGTCCTAAAAGGCTTCCTTTGCAAACGGTATATGTGAATAAGTCTTCATTTCATAAAAGTATTTCCTGAGACCCCATCCAGACAAATCACTGTGTATAGGTGAAGTAGTTTGAGAGCCACTTTATCGATATATTTTACCAAATAAAACATAATATATAATTAAGTGTTCGCCTATTCAAATCAATTTAATTTTTAAACAAGCTTTGATTGAATATCAAAAAAATGAAATATCGAAATGACGGACTTGATACTGCTTTCAATCGAACCTTTTGACACAAAACTACATCTGACTGACTGACTGAATGAGTTTGTTTTACGCCGCTTTTAGCAATATTCCAGCAACATCACGGCGGGGGACACCAGAAATGGGCTTCACAAAACTACATCTGACATCTTCATGATCTGACATAATATTCTGAACAAACGAAGAGGTAGTGACGTGGATGTTTGTGATGATCCTCATAGCAACAGGAAGTGCTATCTGAAATATGTCGTTTATATTTGTGTACATTCACATTACAAGATCTGAGTCGTAGGCGAGAGTGTGAATCGTGAAGTCAGTTTTGAATGACGATTGAACCAGACAGGAAATTTCCCAAACTCATTCTGCTCGTAAGAGATTTACTGGATCAGCTGGGCTGGTTCATGCACTGTTGTCATCAGATTACAATGTCGAACGGAAGGTCACCGATGCTCTTCCGCCTTGTTTACCCAATAAACATCTCTGTGTACATGTAGGGTCGGGTTGGGGGTCACGGGAATGCTATGATGGTGTGTGAAATTGAACTTACATACTTCAGATTGCACGGAGTACTTCCTAGCATCTAGGGTAATATATTGTATGTTACAAACAAAGTGTGAGGAATGTTTGAGTGTATTTGTGGCCCCGACATGTTGTACAAAAACTTATGAAATCGTGACGAGTGAAAGCTTAAACCCCTGTTCTGCCCCATCGCCCCCATCGCCCCCACCGCCCTCACCAAAATAAGGATTAAGGAACTACACACTTCCCCAGAGGATATACACAGAGATTCTGGTGATGGCATAATCCAAACATACAGACATAGTGTATATCCGACACCCCGAGTCCGGCACAGACATAAACACGCTGTCAATGACGTGGTCTTACTGGCCGCCTTCTAGGGGTCAGTATTTGCCTACTGTGTCAAACTCAACCAGGCATACTGCCAAGTATATATGATAAAGTCTTTATCTAACTTTAATATGTTAAATACTTTATACAAAAACACTTTTCATTAATTTCTGGATCATTTTATTTTCAAAGGCAAAGGTGTGAATGGAAGCTGATTTGGGGAGCTGTGAGATATCTGGGCCTGGTTCCCTAGACCGGTCGCGGGCGGGGCTCTGATAATGTTTGCTTCATCCAGCGGTCGACGGCATCACTATCCTCCCACCTTTTGTGTCTTCGTAGTTATCGTCAGTTTCCTCCTTCTCGTCATCATCATCATCATCATTATCATCATCATCATCATCATCATCATCATCATCATCATCATCATCATCACTGTGAGGCTCTTGACATTCAGTATCACTTTCGTTAAACGCTGCATTAGTGCTTACGAATTTGAAGTTGGAAAATTCCGAATGAAGGTGTAAACACAAAATCAAACATCGATCGGGACATTGTTCACTGACGCCAGGGGCGAGCGCGTGCGTGCGTGCGTGCGTGCGTGCGTGCGTGCGTGCGTGCGTGCGTGCGTGTGTGTGTGGTAGCCTAGTGGTTAGATCATTCGCTTCCTGGTTCGATTCCCCACATGGGTACAATGTGTGAAGCCCATTTCTAGTGTCCCCTGTCGTGGTTTTGCGGGAATATTGCTGAAAGCGGAGTACACCCCAGTGACGCCCGTAGCTCTGACGCTCACGTAAACGCCAGACTCACCGCCGCGCTAGAAATAGTTCTTCGTCAGCCTGACGCTGTCAACATTGTAACAATCAGGGCAAACCTCGGGCAGGTGTGTTTGAATCATGACTTTGGTTTCGTATATTTTCGTATATTTAATAAATTTCCTATGATACAAAAATTACATGGAAAATTGAATGCACGGACCAAAGGCGGAATGAAAGAGTTCTGCTTCCTCTCAGAATTGTGTGACAAGTAGAACGACTGTGACACAAACAAATAACTGAAATATTTAAGCTACTGTCTGAATGAAACCACATAGACGACAATATGAATACTTGTGCCAGCGTCATCCTTGCCGACAAACATGTTCAATTTTTGTGTTGGTGTGGCGGGTGTGGTTTACTGTTTCGTGAAGAACATTAATTTCATTGTCAACATAATAATCCTACCACGCACATCGCCACTGACATACACGTGTACATAAACAACGTTTTTTAAAATTATTAATTTGTTCACGTGAAGTTTATAATTGGATAAGTGCCGGTTATTTGATATACAGTTTCACCTAAGCTCTGTAAAGGTACATACATATTCTAAAGAACTTACACACGTTAAAATCAATTCTTTTTTGAGCAGAGTCGAAACATTTTGTAGGACAGTGCATCTTTGGTCACCTGGACATAACGAACTGCATCTACATTGACGGCACAGGCTGCGATTTAACGTCTCCGCAGTGTGTCCAAATTCTCCCTGAAGCCGGGACGCGGTGGCTGCATAGTTGTAGAGAGGTCACATCCGAGCTGCGGGTCTGTATAATACTTGTATGTGAAACCAGTGAAGATTGGTGGAGTGACACCTTTCAATAATCGATTGTCAAAACCGTCTATGTATTTTATTTCTTTACGGATTCTGGAATGGCCCCATTACCTTCTTCGTCGGCAGGTTGCAAATGCTTATCAGGGGAGATAATTGATAAACTTTCCTTGGAGATATGTTTGTGGTACTCTGTGCTCTCTTTGTGAAACAACGAAAAGATGTCACGGATGTCTCTCTCTTAGATTAACGTTACAAAAACCATACATAAATAACATCCCTGATGACATGTCCCTATGTTAAGCAAAGTACCTAGTATCCTGAAGTGTTCCTGGATCATGACTGAGTGAGTGCGCGAATATGGTTTTACGCCACTTTTAGCCATATTCCAGCAAAATCACGACGGGGGACACCAGAAATAGGTTTTCCACATTGCATCCATGTGGAGAATCAAACCCGGGTCTTCGGTGCAACGAGCGAACGCTTTAACCACTAGGCTACTCCACCGCTACTCACGGATCATGAATACAGCAAACAGGTGTTACATACAATACGTTCATTGTGAGACATTGAATCAGCCGTGACATATCTGGTGTACAGCTGAGTGTGTCTTTAATTAACAAATAACAAATAATTATACTGCAATTGTTCTACAGGAGACAGTAAAATAAGGTTTCCTGCACCTTGAATGCGTCTGTTATTTAATGGCAGTACATGGTTAGTACATTAGTAAATGTTTTTTTTAACGAAGATTCCACAGTGTCGAGACACACTGTAGCTTCACATATTCCCGACCTCCATACATTGCACAGGCAACACACAGGCATGCGAGCCTATATCACTAGTGACACAATGTCCATGAGTCAATAACTATATTTATCTCATCTACTGATACAGTACCCAGGAGATAGGTGGGTGCTTGTTCTAGGAAGGTAAGGTGGCGTTTTCTTTTGGCGTTTCATTGGTATCAAAGATTACTCAGCGGGTGCATCGTATTAATCACTGATCGGCCGATATGCGATTTCTTTGGAATCATACTAATCGTTGTTTAGGGTAAAAGTTTATTACAGACGTACCATCCGCCCATTACCAAACCCCCCACCCCCCAACCCCCGAAACATTTGTTTCTAAATTTTATACAACTAAGATTGGATATTGATCACTACAACTTAGTTAGGATCGTAAATTAATGTTGCAGAGTCACTCCGATCTTTCATGTAAATTCTGTACCATCCGCCCATTACCAATCCCCCCAACCCCCAACCCCCCACCCCACCCCGAAACATTTGTTTCTAAATTTTATACAACTAAGATTGGATATTGATCACTACAACTTTGTTAGGATCGTAAATTAATGTTGCAGAGTCACTCCGATCTTTCATGTAAATCCTGTGTACCAGAAGTTTTTCACGGGACTCTCCAGTAACTGCTCATATTAATCCATGTGCATTATCCGATGACAACACTTAGTCTATTCTGTATTCACTGTGACTGGTCATTCCAACAGGGAGAGGTGACATTCTGTCAGAACACCCATATGTTGCGATAGTTAATTAACACTAATCTGAACATTCTGCATCTGTTGGGGTCCGCCTGCAGAGTCTGTTGCTTGACTTTTTGTGCGTTTTAAGTTATTTTGTTTGTCTGACTTGGACGCCTTATGTTGGCCGGTATCCAATTACAGCGTCCCCGTTTAAAACCTCTTATATATGAGTTTCTCGTGCAGCTTGTGCGAAGCATGGTTTTCACTGCAGGCTTTTCTGATTGATCTACCTGCTCTTTACGATCTGTTATATTATCAAGGGCACTTCCACTTTTAATTTCAATTGATTTATGTACCTAAACACTGTAAAGATCACGCGCAACTATTCCATGGACAGGTAGATTTTCTAGTTGTTTTCGTGATCTGCCATGACTTTCTAATTTATGCACCTAGACATTGCATAGGTAATGCACAATTATTCCATTATATTTTGTAAGCCTTTAGTAATCACTGACTAGACATTTTAACAGTGACAAGTCACATTTTATCAGACGTGTTATGATTGGCAGTTGACACTAATCTGGACCCCGTGTAACAAGATAGCAAAACAAGGGAACATTGTGCCTTTGTTTCATTTATATCAGCTACACCTCCTTGTTTTTCAGTAGTAGTGGTTTGTGCATTGGTTATCTCGTTATCTGCCATGTACACGTTCTGTTGGTCTAATAATCAATTTCAGTATCCCCGACCGTTGAAGCAATGTTATATAAGAGTTCACAAGCAGCCCGTGCAAACCATGGTTATGACTGCTTGCACACGGGGGCCCAAGCTACTACATGTGACTTGTTAATTTGTTTTTCCAAAGAGTCACTTTCAGTGTAAATTAACCTGATTTATGCGCTAAAGTACTGTAAGGTAAAGTGCATGGCTCCTTTTCTATTTTCATAACACCATAGTAATCGCTAATTATACTTTGAACTTTGTTGCGGGTACGGGTTGACCACCCAAACGACAGCTTCCGATGAAGCAGGTTTTATTATTGTTTGTTTGTTATTAACTATAATTCCACTACGTTTTGTTGCTTGTGAAAAATACACAAATTCTGGAAGTCATCAAAATGTCAGCATCTCAAGCTATACCATCTTATTCATATCATATCAATTGCGAATCATGAATAATAAATAATGGGTTTCGAAAGAGTCAAAATTATTTCCATGAATTGTAGAGGCATTGGCGATAGTCTTTAGAGAAAACAAGTATTTGGATTTCTCAAAAAGAAAAAAGCGTCCATATATTGTTTACAAGATGTTCATTTTACAAAACAACAAGAGCAGTTTATCAAACAACAATGGGGTTACTCGGAATGTTATTTTAACTCATTCAAGTCAAACGCGAGGGGAACGGCAATTCTTTTCAACAATAATTTTGAATTTTATGTTAGTAAAGAATATCCTGATGCAGAACGTTGAAATTTTAAAGCCATTGATATTGAAATTGAAAATAAGACATATCTGCTTATAAATGTATACGGCCCAAACGAAGCTACGCCTGAATTTTAAGAACAAATTATCAACATTCTAAATGAATCTGACTCGGAATTCTTTATTCTTTGTGGAGATTGGAACTGTGCTTTAAATCCTATACTTGATCAATTTAATTATAAAAATGTAAATAACCCTAAAAACAGAGCCAAAATAAAGGATATTATAGAGTTATATGATTTGAAGACCCTTGGAGACTACATAACCCAACTGAAAGGAGGTATACCTGGCGTCAGCCTACCCCTCTTGATTATTTCCTTGTTTCTCACAATCTCCTCTCTTCAGTAGAATATACCAGCATAGATCCAGGCTTTAGAACTGATCATTCTCTCGTTGAGATAAGTTTGCACTCAAATGAGGTCAAACGAGGTAAGAGTTATTGGAAGTTTAATAATTCTTTATTAAATGATCCTGAATATGTAAAACTAGTAAAAAATACAATACACGAAACTTGTTTCAGATCAACTTTTATGGGAAATGATATTATGTATGGTTAGGGGTAAAACCATACTATATTCGTGTAGTAAAAAAAAGGACAGAGAAAAAAATGAAATGAAATTATCTGAAAAACTCGCAATTTTGACAATAGAGTCAGATGAATCGACAAATACTGAAGAAAAAGATAAATACTGCATCATATAAATGAATAAACTCCGAATTAGAAGAAATTAGCGAAATTAAAGCAAAAGGTAGTTTTATAAGGGCAAAGTCTAAATGGATAGAAAAAGGTGAAAAACCAACAAATGTTTTCTTAAAGTTGGAATCGAGGAATTTTTTTAATAAATCTATTGCTGAACTTGAAACAAAATCCGGAGAAATAATCTCTAATATTTCAGACATTTAATTGAGAGTAAAACGTTTTATCAAAATCTCTACTGTGAAAAGGAAATTTCTCAAATAGATCTCGAAGATTTATTTCCGAATAGCCACAAGAAGGTTAGTGATGAATAAGCAGAAACATTAGAAGGCGAATTAACATACGGTGAAGTTCTTAATGCTTTGAAGCGTATGAAAAATGAAAAAAGCCCGGGCCCTGATGGTTTCACTGCAGAATTCTTCAAATTCTTTTGGCGGGATTTAAATGTGTATCTTATAAAATCGCCAAATTATGCTTACAGAAACGGAGCTCTATCAGATACACAAGTTCAGGGTATCATCACTTGTATTCCAAAAGAAGGCAAACCTAAAAAGTTTCTAAAGAACTGGAGACCCATTTCATTACTTAATATTGTGTACAAACTTGCCTCTGCAGCTATAGCAGGGGGAATAAAACCGACTTTAACCACATTTATCAGTGAGGAACAAAAAGGCTTCATAAAGGGTAGATATATGGGAGAAGTTACAAGACAAGTGTATGACGTTATGGAATATGTGGATACCTATCAGATTCCAGGCTTGTTAATGCTTATTGATTTCGAAAAGGCCTTCGATTCTTTAGACTCGCGATCTATTCCCAACGTTTTCGCTTTTTTAAATTTCGGCCCTTCCATTCGAAAATGGATAAAACTGCTCTATAAAAATTCTGAATCTTGTGTATTAGTAAAAGGTTTTGCTAGTCCCTTTTTCAAACTAAGTCGAGGTTGTCGCCAAGGAGACCCAATCTCTCCATATATTTTCATAGTATGCACTGAAATATTAACCAGATTACTTAAAAGCAATAAATCTATCAGAGGATTAAAGATTGGATCTATAGAACATTTATTAGTGCAGTTCGCAGATGATACTTCCTTAATGTTAGATGGTACTGAAAGGTGCTTACAAGCAGTCGTGAACACATTAACCTTTTTTGCACGTTTTTCTGGTTTAAAAATTAACATTGATAAAACAAAGTTGATTTGGATTGGTTCCAAAAAACGTAGCCGAATGAAACTATTGAAGAACTGTACAATGGACTGGACTGAAACATTTAAGTTGCTGGGTATCAAATTTGACATTGATCTTGAAAATATGGTAGATGCTAATTACAACGAAAAATTTAAAGAAATTGAAAATTCAATGAAAATGTGGAAATGTAGAACGTTAACGCCGTTTGGACGTAACACAGTGCTAAAATCCTTATTGTTACCAAAACTTAATCTCTTATTTTCTATCGTTCGTACGCCACCAGAAACTGTAATACAAAATTTCCAAGCAAATTGCTTTCGATTTATTTGGAACGAAAAACCCGATAAGATTAAACGGAACAGGGTAATATGCAATATTCCGGACGGGGGGTTCAATACTCCATTTGTAAGGGATGTAATTGCTTCTCAAAAGATTTCATGTCTTAGACGATTTACCTTCTCGAACACAATACATCAATTATTTCTTTACGAATCAAATACTATTCCAAGTAATATTTTAGAAATGGATGCAATCTATATAAGAGATTATATCATTATTAACATAAGAAACCCCTTCTGGCGAGATGTTTTATCATCCTGGGCTCTTTTCCTGAATAAGCATAAGAAAACACGAAAAGATGCGTACTAACAGACTGTATATATGGTATAATGATAATGTTAAGATTGATAAAAAATGCATATTTATTAAACAATGGGAGGAAGCCGGAGTAAAATATATCAATGATTTGATAGATCAGGATGGTCAAACTCTTTCATACCTAGATTTCAAAAATAAGTACAATATTTCCTCCAATTATTTAACATTTTACGGGGTAAAAAAGGCTTTGAATAAATATTTAAACGAGCTTGATTATGACCCTATTACACCATTAACAGCACCATTATTACCATTTAATATTCGTTTGCTCCTGAATACCAAAAAGGGCTCAAAATACTACTATAATGTGTTATTAGGATCCAAGTTCCAGAAGACTTCAGCCAATCAACAATGGGAGAAAGATATAGTAAAACAATATACAGATATGGAATGGAGGAATATTTATGAAATTCCATTTCGATCAACTGATAGTGTTCAATTACGGTGGTTTCAATAAAAAATTATTAACCGAATCCTTCCATTTGGAAAATATTTGTTTAAGATTGGATACCTAAACTCTCCTGTCTGTACAACTTGTAATAAGTTCATAGCAGATATGAAACTGGGTAAACAGCATGCGGAAATCAATATACAGTTTACTAAAGAAACAATTCTGTTGGGCTTTCCTTCTAAAAGAAATGACCCTTTAAACGTAATCTGTCTTGTACTAAAAAACACAATTTTCAAAGTTTATCTTAAACGAGGAAAACTTTCCTTTGCTTCGATCCAGAGGGAGTTAACAAATTACTATAACATAACAAAAGCCATAGCTTACTCTAACTGTGATTACAACAAATTTGTTAAATTTTGGTCCAGTTGCCATAACTTGTTTGTTTGACCACTATATTCAACTATTCTTTTCGATGAAACTTTGTTTATCGATGTATGACATTGGTCCATCTGCTATAAGTGGTATGTTTTGAACAACTTTATTCAATTACTATTATCAATGAAACTTTGTTTATTGATGTATGGTCCAGTTGCCATAAGCAGTTTGTCTCTTAACTACTGTATTCGATTACCCTTTTCGATGAAACCTTGTTTCTCGATGTATGGTCCAGTTGCCATACGCAGTATGTTTCTTAACCACTCTACATAATTACCCTTTTCAATGAATCTTTGTTTATCGATGTATGACATTGGTTAAACCACTCTATTCAATTACCCTTTTCAATGAAACTTTGTCTATCGATGTATGACATTGGTCCAGCTGCCATAAGTGGTATGTTTGAACCACTCTATTTAATTACTCTTTTTGTTGAAACTTTGTTTCTCGATGTATAGCATTGGTCCAGTTGCCATAAGCAGGTTGTTTGAACCATTTTATCCAGTTACTCTTTTGATGAAACTGCTTCTCGATGGATGACATTGCTCGTGTTGCCATAAACAGTCTGTTTTCAATGAAGCATATGTTAAATGACATATTATGTATCACATGTATGATTTGCTGTACAACTAAAAAAAGTGGTATACAAATTTTTTTTAAAAATCATGTATACCATTTCACACCAAAAAAAAAAAAAAAGAAAAGAAAAAGAAAAAAAAGATTGGATATTGATGGGGAGAAACATATAAGCTTGGTGAAATGTCAAGATATATTTATAGCCAACCAGGCAGTGGTAGATGAGTTCCTCAAAGCGATCGTAGCTACAATCAGTTGTAAGCCCTACGATCAACTTTACAATTATCGTAAATAACAATATATTGTCGTTCCTCAAAGCTATTGTAAGGGAATTGTAAGTATCGCAATTGTAATTCTTTCGATCGTAAATTACAATCGTGATCTTCTGCGCGAAAGTTAGGAATAATGCGTTTACATTACTTCCGGTTGGTAAGAGTTGCTTCCCCTTTCAAGCAGACGAAAAATAATCCACCCATAGCAAGATATCGCAAAGTAATTAAAACCTTGCATTCTACGGATAGTGCATGTGAACGCTGAGTGTCCAAGGATAACCTAGGTTCTAGCATGTTTACCAGCTTCAGAGTCGTAGCCCACGTCATTCTGTACCTTGAAAATATTTCAGCGTCATTGTAAACATCAAGAACACGACAGCGGTCTCGAAATATCCTCTCAGGGCCAAATTTCTGTCTCCTTTATTTATGAATTACAACAAACGCCGCCATCTTGTTCATACACAACAATCTATCGTAAGTAAGTGACAGACGGTCATAAGCAGCTCACGGAAGTGATTGTAACTTACAGCTATTGTAACTTACAATTGCTTTGAGGAACGGTGCAGTGATTGTAAGCTACAGTTACAATTGTATTGTCGTGATTTATAACTATTGTAGTGTTACAATCGCTTTGAGGAACGGGGCCCAGGTATGTACTGAATATCAACGTTATAACTGGCAAGAACTGGGAAATACAGTGTGTTCAGGTAGTGCTGCTTCACGTTCAGACAGGCAGATATGTTGAAGACAGAGTAAGTATTAACTGTCATGAGTTTTGTTTTATAGATGAAGAGTTATCACTATGTTCCTTATGGGATGACTTTTAGAACAACTCATTTTACAAAGGTTTACAAACTATGTGTCTGTCGATCTGATTAAACAATCGTGTGTGTGTGTGTGTGTGTGTGTGTGTGTTATAAATAGGAGGAAATATACTCTCTCTCTCTCTCTCTCTCTCTCTCTCTCTCTCTCTCTCTCTCTCTGTCTCTCTCTCTCTCTCTCTCTCTCTCTCTCTCTCTCTCTCTCAGATACATGTGTATCATTAGCAGGTGCAGCATTCATTAGACGGTGGGCACTTCAAAAAAGCCAGAATTATGGATCAGGAAACGAACACACGTGATCCGTCAATGATCCAGCAAACACCGTCTCCACCAATCGCCGAGCTAGACCTGGAACCAGTCGCAGAACAATGTAGTAAACCAACAATAGGAAGACAGCTCTGGGCTCTGCGCAACGTTCTTATAGTACTCCTGACTCCAGTAGTGCTCTTGCCGCTTCCTATCGTAGTGGATGACCCGGTGAGGAGTTTATTAAAAACATTTTATGTAAAACAAGTGAGTGTGAGTGAGTGAGTGAGTTTAGCTTTACGCCGCTCTCTGCAATATTCCAGCTATATGGTGGCGGTCTGTAAATCATCGAGTCTGGACCAGACAATCCACTGATCAACAACATGAGCATCGATCTGCACAATTTGGAACCAATGACTTGTGTCAACCAAGCCAGTGAACCTGACCACCCGATCCCGTTAGTCGTATCTTAGGACAAGCATGGGTTACTGAAGATCAATTCGAACCCGGATTTTCATGGGTTGTAAAGCAATTACAATATGATGTGACTAGTTGGGCCTACCGTCTCCTCAGTTTAAACAACATGAATGATCTCTTCGCCTTTGTATTAACACATCACTGTCACATTTGCCCAGAAAACCAACTGTGCCTACGTGATATTAGTGATGGCCGTGTTCTGGATGACGGAGGCAGTACCTATCGCCGCCACATCTCTCATGCCCATCTTCATGTTCCCAATGATGGGGATGCTCCCAGCCTCAACAGTGTCAGCAACATATCTCAACGTGAGTAGCAGCGACATACCTCAATATCAGCGACATTCCTCAATATCAGCAACATAAATCTCGGTGTCTATACAACTTGATAGAATCGAGACTTTATACAACAATCTGCCTGGTCCTGAGTTGCGAGTCTCACAGGGGAGTTACTAGGGCGACCTGGAGTACTTGGGGGAAAGGAGCACTAAACTTGTCACAATATACGTCTCTTGGGCAATACAAAATGGTTAGTACGCTTAAATATAGGTTTTACAGGATACAATCATTTTGACTGAACGAAGAAAGCAAACATGTGCTTCACCCAAAGAGTGACTTTCAAGCACAGGTGCTTGATCTACACTAGGTAATCCAAGGATTGCTTGAAATAAGAGCTATAATTTAACATCCAGTAGCAAGACGTCCCATAAGGGCTCAGCAATGATATCCACGATATCAGTTCCATATATCCGTCGCGCAGACGTCGAAGAGGACGACCTACGTCACGTGACTGGAATCCCTTAATGCTCCATGGAATAATCTTTACTGTGTTTTCTAACTTAAGTCTAGCACGAGTAACATACAATTACTATACCCATGAGACAGATATTGGAAGAGAAGAGCCAAACATAAGTTACCAATGAACATATACAACCAGATATTGGAGATAGGTAGGAAATGGCCATGGAACTAGAGGAACCCACTTGGTGAAACTCCAAGTTGCTATAATATCTTCACTACATGAATATACTTGCTTACCAATACTAGATGAACTTTAGCAAAACTATACATGATCAAAGTATGTGGTTAAACTGTCAGCGAATACAGTTACAGGATACCAAGGCCCTGATGAAGTAGTATGAGAACAATGACCCCGATCTGTCCAGACCGTCAGACAGGGGTGAGTGGGGAAGGAGACCATTGCTCCGTGACTTGCCCTGTTAACGTCCCGGGGAATATATTCAATAAAATGTGTTTATGTCGAATGAGAAAACGTAATATAAGGAATGATAGAAGATACGTCGTTGTAACTCCCTCCTTCGTTTAAAGGACGCGTCAGTGTTGTGCTTTGGCAGTCTCGTTGTGGCCGTTGCTATAGAAACTTGGGGAATTCACAGACGAATAGCATTGCGGATGTTGGTGCTTGTTGGTGCAGAACCAAAACGGTAAGTGATTGATGTGAGACTGGTGGACACATTTGCCACACCCCCTAAAACTATTGTACCGACCACTCTGGTATTTCTCAATATGTATAGCTCGTAACAGACCTTCTCGAAATGGGTTCGACGTTCATACTGACCTTCCACTTCCTTCTCATTAGCATGTTCCGAGTCGTCGTAGACACAAAATTTGGCAACAGTTTGTTTTTGGATTTAGTAAGAGTAACGGAGTGCAAGGTGAATACAAACCGCTTTCTCATTCGTAACTACTCGTGTCATTTCGGGAAGCTGGATGGCGTCTCGTACCCCTCTCGTGGCCATGTTTACGACTGGGCCCTGACTAAGCGCAAACGGGCATGGGTATGAAAATAGTCTAGTACTATCACCAAGAAAAGATAACTCTGAATTTCCAAACATGGCTCTAGAATATCCTTCATCCCGTGGGCAAAGCAGCAATACAGTCATTCCCTCTGTATATATTCTGTAAGCCATTAAAAACGCAATTGGTATTTGTTGTCCTGAAACTTACAAAAGTTCTATTGACGATTTTTTCCTGCGATGCAGAGGATTTAGGGATAAAAGGCTGTTATTCTGGCCCATTTCGAGTTCGAGTCCCGGAGCATTCCTCTCACATGAACTTTGATACTTAAAACTGAACCCTTGACATTTCTCGCAAACACAGCCACATTCATGAAACACGTTGTGCACATGCATTACCTGCACCCAGGCCCTGTAAAAGCACAAGGAATTGTGGAACTCAATCACTTTGAGAAAATGCCACACTTGACACAAGACGAAAGGTATCAGGTTATTGGTATGGTCAGCCAAGGTGCTTCAGATGTGATGATTGCCAGGCACTTTAATGTGCATCCATCCACTGTAAGTCGACTCAGACAACGTTTTCGGGCTACCGGAAGTGTTGCTGATCGTCCGCGACCTGGTGCACCACCTGTGATAACAGGTCGACGAAACCTCAATATCCGAGTTTTACACTTGCGAAATCGGTTCCAAACAGCTGATGATTAGGCAAGGAGGACAATTGGGACAAGTCAACGTCATTTCAGGGCCAAAAAGGTGCAAGGACGCCTTGCTGCCTTCAACATCCGGTGTCGTCACCCGTACCGTGGTCCAACCTTATTGCATCGCCACAGACTTGCCAGGCAGCGATGGACAGCAAATGGGGCCAATCTTGGCAACAGGACATGGCCAGATGTCATTTTTTCAGATGAATCCAGGTTTAACTTATCCTTTGCAGATCGACGTAAAGGAGAAAGATGTGCGCCAAACTGTGTCCTTGAACATGGTCGTTTTGGAGGGGATGGTGTCATGATCAGACCACAGACCATCAGAGGCTGCAGACCATCCAACAGCTGTTCCTGAGAAATGTGTGTCTTTCAATGCCCGTAAGACTGCGAGCATGTCTTGCAGCGCACGGTGGACACACACGATATTGACTGCAAGTGGCCCCTCCTTTGTTTGATGTCGTTGTTGCGTCACTGATGTTGTTGTTGACTGGACATTTTCAGATGAAATTATTCACAGATTTTCACTTAAAACATAACTGCCAGTGAGGTTTATATATGTTGAAATTAGTGTGAGTAAAGAAAGTATGAATGTCAAATTGCATTTTTAATGGCTTTCAGTATATGTTTCAGTGTTTAAAGTTTCTGATCCTTTAGCTCAAAGTTTATTATTAAATTGTGCTTTGCACAGATTAGCGAAGTTTTCAAACTTCAACGGTGCCGCCATTTTCATACTTTTAAAAGCGTTTTACTACGCGCGATTTGATTGGTTTGCCACGATTCCTGGCAATAATGGCGTACGAGTCTTCTTGTAGGTGAGTAGTTACGAATGACCGCTTTCTGTACCCTGGTGATCAGCTTTGAAAGTGTCAACTTCGGAACCCTCCTGACTGGAAGTTAAATAGAAAAAATATTCATTCGTATAATCTGGTGAACATGAATGCATATAGCACGAAATTATTAAACATTGATGCGGTGTTACAGGTTGATGGCGGGAGTGATGGCGTCAACGTGGTTCCTGTCCATCTGGATCGCAAACACCGCCACCACCGCCATGATGATTCCTATAATCAATACCATCATGCAGCAACTGAAGACTTCCGGTCAAGGCGACCATGACAAGGAGACGGACATTGAGCAATGTAAGGGTGTGCGCCATCAACACTGCTAGAAGCGTCCATTAAATCTCCAACCTTAGTAATGAGTGAGTCAGTGAGTTTGATTTTACGCCGCTTTTAGCAATATTCCAGCAATATCACGGCGGGGGACTCCAGAAAAGTGCTTCACACATTGTACCCATGTGAGGAATCGAACCCGGGTCTTCAGCGTGACGAGCGAACGCTTTAACCACAAGGCTACCCCACCGCCCCTTCAACTTTAGTAAGCAAGGGGAACGACATATATTTCGAATATTTATAGGATGCGTTGTATGTTAGTTTGCTTGCTTCGCACTAAACAATATTAATATTACATTTATCGAATGTCAATTTCGAGACAATCAAATCAAATCAACTTGATTAAACTGGAGGAGCAAACTGGATCTCGTACCACAAGGATTTGGTGCTGTAGACCAATGAGAACGGGAGTTACAGCATCGTGTTAGCCCGGCTGCTGGACAAAGCGTTGGCTCACAGCGACTAAGACATGAGTTTGATTCCGCATCCTGGTCTTATATAAATTTCTTATCAAGTTTTATAGCATACTACTAGACTGAACCAAGACAAGGGGATAACAACACAAGTAGTGACCTACTTCGCATTTGACATAATTTGTTTGTTCGTAGCTAGTAACTCCTACAAGCTGGCGACAATCTCTCCAGAAGGGGGTAAACCTGCTGACACATCTCAGCCCTCCTCTCACGCTCGGTATGTCGGTAATAACCCCCTACTAGATAAACGCTAGATAAACACTAGATACAAGTACTGGACCAGCTTTACATATAGACACCCTTCTAAGGTGACATCTTATCATGTCTTCTCTGTTGTGGAATACTGGATTTAATAATCAAAAAACATCATTATTCAGGTGACAAAGTAAATATTGCCCCACTCTTTAATGTTGTGTTTTGTGTGAAATACAATATGGTTCAACAGTTATGAATTATATTACTCAGCCGCATGTCTTCCACGTACGGGATGAATTGATTCTGCTTTCTGAACTCTACATATTCCAGCGACGACGAGGTTCACTATCAGCGCATGTTTAAAGCCCTGTCTCTCAGTGTTTGCTTTGCTGCGAATATTGGCGGTATAGCGGGGCTAACCGGGACTGGTTCCAACGTGGTGTTGAAAGGCCAGTCTGACATGTGAGTCCACCAAAATACAGACAGCACGTACGTTAGATACAGACTCACTTGTAAGCGTTTGTGTTACATATCCTTGGTGAGATCCGGGGAGGGTGGGGGTGGCGGGTAACCGTGCTAGACTATCACCCCGGCAATTCAGACCCATTGTACGAGGTGACGTCAAAATCGGGTGTCCGGCCTCGAGCACGGAGTAAGTAGGATGTCCCATGACGACGAAGGGGTGAGTGTATGTGGCGATGGTGGCACGATGCTTAGAGACTATGTGACGTCATCGTTACCATGGCAATTAAATGGCACCACTAATCACTCTGCCACATCAAATCCCGGTTATGAATTATAACCAACCAAAAGCAGGTTAAAAAATTTGAACTCTGTAGCAGGTTTGGGCGTAACCTTGCCAGAGGATGGTAGTACGTTTGTTCCGGAATGTAGTGGTATGTTATTGAAATGTGCATTGCTGGAAAAACCCGGAAGAAAGAATTTTGATGATAAAGTGAATGTCATGCCCTCAGTTCCCGTACCGCTGCTAATGGTGGATGTTCCGATGTGGTGGTGGATCGTTGAGATAACTACTTCTTAAATTAATAACGCGGAGGGAAACAGAGATACTATTTTCCAGGGGCGGATACAGCTTTTTGAGAAAGGGGGGGTGCACACTATTGAGAAAAGGAGGGGTGCACACTTCATTTTCACCCGAGTTTCAATGGTCATTTAACAAACTTTCAGCACAAAAGGGGAGGTGCGCACCCCTGCACCTCCCCTCTGGATCCGCCTATGTTTTCGTCCTAATAATGGCTGGACCAATAACTGACATCATGAAGTCTCTCCACGCAGTTAGGATACGAAGTCGTGTAAGCAGCCAAGTCACTGAGCTTGCAACTAGATTGATGTTATCCTACGACAAGGCTTTAGCTGGGGTGCACACTTCAATCCTGCTAGAATCTACACAATATTGTACGAAGAACATTGTAAACGTGATCGTCGGCCAGTTGGGCGAGGCCCATTGTTAGTGTGTCGATTCCCCTTACGTGTGAAGCCCATTCCTGACATCCCATTCTCCCTGATATCATGGAACACGGAAGCGGAGTCAGACTTACTCCATATTTTTGTCTCTTCTCCCGCAGGATTTTCGCCGACAACGACGTCACGTGCCCTGTGACGTTCAGTGCGTGGTTCGTGTACGGCCTCCCCCTCTCCATCATCGTCCTCGTCATCCTGTGGATCTGGATGCAGATCTACTTCCTCAGATGCAGGTACTGATGGTAGCACAACTTGTTCCATGTAACCTTAGACGACCTGATTGAGGCGAGGTTCCGTCTGGTGTGTTCCTTGTCTCATGTGTTCCTTGCAATCTCACAGTGTATGGCTGAACTGTAAATAATCAAGACTTGTATACATATATTTGCAGCGACTTCTTTGATTGGCATTCTAGAAGTTGGGTAGATGAAGAATGGGGACTATTTTTATGGATATACAACTTCCCTTGCTTGACAACGACAGTAGAATCTATGTCGAAACGTCGCCTATACAGAACAAAGATGTTGTATATCCATAAAAAATAGTCCCCATTCTTCATATATATGCAGTGTTCAACTGTTGTGCAAATTAGAGTGTTTTACTTTATGAACAAAAGAAAGTGATGTTTAAGTCTAGTAGGGGCACTATCAGATATACAGGATCAACTACGGGTGACTATGAACAAGACGAATCGTTAAATCAAACCTCTGAACACAGGATCCCTAAAATTGATTTGAATCCTTCACGAAACAAACAAACATTTCTGTCTCAACCCGCTGCGATACTGCGGGAATATTGCTAAATATACTGAGTCAAACTAGAAACTTCACAATAATATAATGAATATTATTTTATGTCCGCAAAAAACAAAATTGAGAAGTTAGGCAATACGCTTTGATGAATATGGCAACGTCTATCATCTATACTGGACGGAAGCTGCAGCTGTCATACATGCTAGCCGTAGCACCCCATGCATGCGTGGTCGATTTGGCCTAGGGCGATCAGCAGTGGCAGTCGAGTCTGTAAATCATAAACAGTACGACGGCTGCACCCATTGTCCTTGCAACGTCACTTGCTCACGTTCCCGCTTCCAGCATGCCAACGGCACGGCACATTTGAGAGGCGTGGCATAAGAATTGGCTGTTTTGAATAGTGCTTTAGTGTTTTTCACTTTGTAAGTTGATGGGAACATGTGCGATCGAATGCACGTGTAATGATTAGATCACGTGACCAGTGGCACGTGAAAAACACGTTTTAGCACTATTGTGCACGATGTTTGGATTGACTACAATGTGCTGTGGTGAGTAGATTCTTGAGTCAATATTTGGGGATTAATATTATGATACCCGAATACTGTCTACTATAACAATTTATATTTTTCTTTACAAATATGAATTGTGAAGTTCTTTATGTTGACATTATCTTAGTACATTATAATCATACTCCCACACTTCCTCAGATTACATATTTTTATTTGATACAGATGTTGCGGTACAAACGACAAAACCGCTACAAAGAGAGTAACAGACGCCATAAAAGAGGATTTCAAAAAGCTTGGCCCTATGTCGTAAGTTTGAAACGCTTGGTTGGATTCACATATAATCCTATGTGAGCGTGCGTGAGTGTGTGTTTCTCTCTCTCTCTCTCTCTCTCTCTCTCTCTCTCTCTCTCTCTCTCTCTCTCTCTCTCTCTCTCTCTCTCTCTCTCTCCTCTCTCTCTCTCTCTCTCTCTCTCTCTCTCTCTCTCTCTAAAGACCTATATAAGACTATAAAGATGTGTATGTCTCAAATCTGAGATGTGTCTCCTGTTGCTCTGGATACATACTCTCTCTGTTCTCTTGGATACATACTAATCGTATTGCAGAGGCAGAGTTTGGATACCATACAAATCATGTTATTGTGTTGCTTGGATACATACTCGTGTTGCTTGGATACATACTCGGGATCCGTTTCCGTAGGTTTGCCCAATGGAGTACACTTACCTTCACTGGACTTCTGATGGTGTTGTGGATCACCCGGGATTTCGGCAGCTATGGTGGCTGGGGACTCATTTTCAAACCAAAGCAGGTTTTTTTCATCTTGTGTAAGATTAAATGTACATATATACATTCATCAATTCTGACATGAAAGCTTGACGGAGTATCTGACTGTTTCTGCCACTTGTTTGAGTGGCATTTAGAAGTTGGTGTGATGAACAACGAGGAGAGTTCTATGGATATACAACTTCTCTAATATAATATGCGCGACGTTTCTGTGTAGCTTCTAACACCGTTATCAAGCAAATGATATCTGCCACCTCAGTCACCATGGCAATGTAAGTTTGACGGAGTATCTGACACTTACCTCCTCCGTCACTATGACAATGTAAGCTTGACGGAGTATCTGACAGTTACTTCCTCCGTCACTATGACAATGTAAACTTGACGGAGTATCTGACACTTACCTCCTCCGTCACTATGACAATGTAAGCTTGACGGAGTATCTGACAGTTACTTCCTCCGTCACTATGACAATGTAAACTTGACGGAGTATCTGACACTTACCTCCTCCGTCACTATGACAATGTAAGCTTGACGGAGTATCTGACAGTTACTTCCTCCGTCACTATGACAATGTAAACTTGACGGAGTATCTGACAGTTACTTTCTCCGTCACTATGACAATGTAAGCTTGACGGAGTATCTGACAGTTACTTCCTCCGTCACCATGGCAATGTAAACTTGACGGAGTATCTGACAGTTACCTCCTCCGTTACCATGGCAATGTAAACTTGACGGAGTATCTGACAGTTACCTCCTCCGTTACCATGGCAATGTAAACTTGACGTCATCACTGAGTTTTCTGTATTTACATCCCAGGTTTGCGTCAGACTCGACCCCTGCGTTGCTGATCAGCTTCCTGCTCTTCATATTTCCCGCAGATAGACCCGCCGTGTTCTGTTTACGAAAGAAAGATGGTCAGTAACATATGTATTTGTGCTTCCACAAGTTCAGAGTTGACCCAGACACTCATGAGTCCTGCAGTCCACCGTCTAAATATACATGTACGCATTTATCTCATCTCCAGATGTCAGGGAACCAACATTCCGGCCGCTTCTCACCTGGAAGGATGTCCAGAAGAAGATGACATGGTCACTCTACCTTCTCTTCGGGGCCGGCTTCTCGCTGGCAAAGGCATCTCAGGTCAAGCTCATATCATCCTCAAGAGTTTCCTATATAACATGTTGTTGTAATAACTGCCCTAGACATATCCTCAGCCGTTTTGAATCCGGTTCGAATACCTTATAACTACTCTAAGCGTTAATTGATCAACAAGACTAAGTGTGCGTCTGTCGTATTTCTGTACCCTGTGTTTTGTTGTGTCGTGATGTGTTCAATGTCCAGGTGTCTGGTCTCTCCGACTGGATTGGGGAGAAGCTGCAGGTGTTTGATGCTGTGTTCAATGTTCAGGTGTCCGGCCTCTCCGACTGGATTGGGGAGAAGCTGCAGGTGTTTGATGCTGTGTTCAATGTTCAGGTGTCTGGCCTCTCCGACTGGATTGGGGAGAAGCTGCAGGTGTTTGATGCTGTGTTCAATGTTCAGGTGTCTGGTCTCTCCGACTGGATTGGGGAGAAGCTGCAGGTGTTTGATGCTGTGTTCAATGTTCAGGTGTCTGGTCTCTCCTGGACTGGATTGGGGAGAAGCTGCACTGGATTGGGGAGAAGCTGCAGGTGTTTGATGCTGTGTTCAATGTTCAGGTGTCTGGTCTCTCCGACTGGATTGGGGAGAAGCTGCAGGTGTTTGATGCTGTGTGTTCAATGCTGTGTTCAATGTTCAGTGTCTGGCCTCTCGACTGGATTGGGGAGAAGCTGCAGGTGTTTGATGCTGTGTTCAATGTTCAAGTGTCTGGCCTCTCCGACTGGATTGGGGAGAAGCTGCAGGTGTTTGATGCTGTGTTCAATGTTCAAGTGTCTGGCCTCCGACTGGATTGGGGAGAAGCTGCAGGTGTTTGATGCTGTGTTCAATGTTCAGGTGTCTGGCCTCTCTCGACTGGATTGGGGAGAAGCTGCAGGTGTTTGATGCTGTGTGTCTGGTCTCCGACTCCGACTGGATTGGGGAGAGCTGCAGGTGTTTGATGCTGTGTTCAATGTTCAGGTGTCTGGCCTCTCCGACTGGATTGGGGAGAAGCTGCAGGTGTTTGATGCTGTGTTCAATGTTCAGGTGTCTGGTCTCTCGACTGGATTGGGGAGACTGGATTGCTGTGGAGAAGCTGCAGGTGTTTGATGCTGTGTTCAATGTTCAGGTGTCTGGCCTCTCCGACTGGATTGGGGAGAAGCTGCAGGTGTTTGATGCTGTGTTCAATGTTCAGGTGTCTGGCCTCTCCGACTGGATTGGGGAGAAGCTGCAGGTGTTTGATGCTGTGTTCAATGTTGCCTCTCCGACTGGATTGGGGAGAAAGGTGTCAGGTCTCTCCAACTGGATTGGGGAGAAGCTGTTCAGGTGTCTGGCCTCTCCGACTGGATTGGGGAAAAGCTGCAGGTGTTTGATGCTGTGTTCAATGTTCAAGTGTCCGGTCTCTCCACTGGATTGGGGAGAAGCTGCAGGTGTTTGATGCTGTGTTCAATGTTCAGGTGTCCGGTCTCTCGGACTGGATTGGGGAGAAGCTGCAGGTGTTTGATGCTGTGTTCAATGTTCAGGTGTCAGGCTGTGTTCAATGTTCTCTCCGACTGGATTGGGGAGAAGCTGCAGGTGTTTGATGCTGTGTTCAATGTTCAGGTGTCTGGCCTCTCCGACTGGATTGGGGAGAAGCTGCAGGTGTTTGATGCTGTGTTCAATGTTCAGGTGTCTGGCCTCTCCGACTGGATTGGGGAGAAGCTGCAGGTGTTTGATGCTGTGTTCAATGTTCAGGGTGTCTGGCAATGTTCTCTCGACTGGATTGGGGAGAAGCTGCAGGTGTTTGATGCTGTGTTCAATGTTCAGGTGTCTTGCCTCTGCGTCTGGATTGGGGAGAAGCTGCGGGTGTTTGATGCTGTGTTCAATGTTCAGGTGTCAGGACTCTCCGACTGGATTGTGGAGAAGCTGCAGGTGTTTGATGCTGTGTTCAATGTTCAGGTGTCCGGTCTCTCCGACTGGATTCCGGGAGAGAAGCTGCAGGTGTTTGATGCTGTGTTCAATGTTCAGGTGTCTGGCCTCCGACTGGTGGGGAGAAGCTGCAACTGGATTGTGGGAGAAGCTGCAGAGAGAGAAAGTCTCTCCGACTGGATTGGGGAGAAGCTGCAGGAGAGAGAGAGAGAGAGAGAGACAGAGAGAGAGAGAGAGAGAGAGAGAGAGAGAGAGAGAGAGAGAGAGAGAGACAGACAGACAGACAGAGAGAGAGAGAGAGAGAGAGAGAGACAGACAGACAGACAGACAGACAGAGAGAGTATTTATTTCCTCCAGTAGTTACCGAAGATTACACACAAAAACATCATATTATTACAACACGTACATGAATATTAACAATTGGATGTTTAGAGACATATGTACCGAAATTTATGACATGAAGGGAATCATTCTGTATAACAGTTCACAAGGTGAGGTGTCAGGTCATATACATACAAAGAAAAGCGTAACAGTATGGTTTCCCATAGTGTTGAATCTATAGAGTTATGAAAGTCGTTTTCTACTCCGAAGAGAAATGACAACACCTTGTTCAACTTGCATTTCAAATAGTACGTAAGTTTCAACATCAAGTTTATCAATTAAGTATGCAAAGAAATCATTCCGTTGTTGTATTAAGTTTTCACAGTGGAGAAGCATATGAAAATCATAGTCAAATGTTTGATTATTACAAAGAGCACACTCTTTTGAAATTTTACCTCTTGATACTATTTTTACACAAAATTGCAAGGAAGATTTATAATTATGGTGTTTATATGCCAGTTGCCAGAGAGTATGATAAGAGAGTGTAGTATGAGTTGTTACGTAGAATGACATGTTTGAATGATAGAGAGTTTGTGATCGCCATGATTGTACAGTAGCATTTACAATTCTTCTCCATACACATTTTGGAGGAAATATGCCCTGAGCAATATAATTGTCAACAAATGTATTTAGCTTATACTTTTCAGATATTGATAAAAGATCATGACAGATGTTGTTAGATTTTACTGAAGTTGTAATAGCAGCACAAAAGATAAGTTTTGCAAAGTTGTGACACTCAGTGTTACATAGTCGCCCAAGAAATAGTAGTTTACATTTATCGATATACACAATTAGTGACCATAATCCCAAATGTGCAATGGTAGATATTGATGATGACCTCTTACCAAGACCTTGCACACGACGAGCAAAGTACCTTTGTGTTTGGTCAAAGGTGTCAGCCTGTTGGACTTTGATGTTTGGTAATACTTCACAGCCATACAGAATAGTTTTAAGAATCATTCTGAGCCATATTTTAACACAAGTGATTGGATGTAGGCCAGAATCATTCAGTCCAATAGATCTAAGTGAGTTTACATTCTGTTTTCCTTTCTGACAATACTTTTCACATCTAGTTTTTGTAGAGCGGCTTCTTGTAAAGAGTACACGCCCATATACGGTAGATTCTGATAAGGGGATTGGGATGTTACCAATGCTGCAGTGGACGTTTACATCATAGCCTTTTCTTTTGCTAAAAATGATGATGGTACTTTTTGATGGGTAATATGTTAGACGCCATTTTGTAGCGTATGAAGAGACAATATCAAGTGATACCTGTAGGCCATTAGGGGATGTGCTTATGAGTGTAGTATCGTCAGCAAGCAAGACAGTTGGAACGTCTATACCAAAGACACGGATACCACAGCCAGCTTCTCTTAAAGATGTAATTAGGTCATTAATACAAATGAGAAAAAACAAAGAGGATATAACCCTCCCTTGTCCAACACCTTGTTTGACCAAGTACATATCTGACCTCTCGCCGTGGTATGCAACAAATGATTGGCTATTGGTGTAACAGTGATGTAATAGTTTCCATGTATTACCTCTAATACCAAGTTCATGAAGCTTAAAGAAAAAACCATCATGCCAAATTCTGTCGAATGCTTTTGCATTGTCGAGAAAGGTTGAAGACAGGGGAATCTCTATGGTTATAGTATTGTATACTCTCCATGAGAGTAAACACAGACATTGTGGCTCCATGCTCTTTTCGAAATCCAAATTGTCAATCAGGAAAGTCCGGATTTGATTTAAGCAATTTATTTTCAATTCTTTTGAGCAAGAGCTTTTCAAATAGTTTACCAAGGCAAGATGTTAGTGTGATACCTCTGTAGTTCCGAGGGGTGGTTTTATCATCTTTATCTTATATTGGTATTACCATTCCAATCCTATATTCGTATGGGACATATTGAGATTCAACCATATGACTGAATAGTTTACATGCATAATTAATGAATACATCACCTGCATATATGATATGCTCGTTTGTAAGTTTGTCGGGACCTGGGGGTTTGTTTTTGCTTAGAGACTTAACAGCATCCTTTATCTCATCAAAGTTGAGCTAGGTCGGTGTAGCATTTGCCCCATATTTTACATACTTCAGAGGGCGGTGAGCCGCTCTCGCCTCCGTAATCAAGTGTAGATATATTTGTAGCTACTGTCCGACGCTGCAGGTGTTTGAGGTTGTATTCAATGTTCAGGTGTCTGGCCTCTCCGACTGGATTGGGGAGAAGCTGCAGGTGTTTGCTGACCTCAACCCCTACATCACAATGCTCATCATCTGCTACATCGTGTCATTCGCCACACAGTTCATGAGCAACGTTGCCCTGACAACGCTCATGATGCCTATCATGGCCAAACTGGTACGTCAAGCTAACTCACATAACCATTGCCCAGCTGGTAGCCTTGATCCTGTCAGGTTCTGCATTCTACTGTTACTCTTGTTTCATGGCACAAATCGTACGTCATGATAACCCTTAACCTATTATGGCTCAAATCGTAGTCAAGATGACCCCTATTCTATTATGGCCCAAATTGTACGTCATGATAACCCTTAACCTAATTTATTATGGCCCAAATCGTACGTCATGATAACCCTTAACCTAATTTATTATGGCCCAAATCGTACGTCATGATAACCCTTAACCTAATTTATTATGGCCCAAATCGTACGTCATGATAACCCTTAACCTAATTTATTATGGTCCAAATCGTACGTCAAGATAACCCATATGCTATTATGATCCAAATCGTACGTTAAGATAACCCATATCCTATCATGGCTCAAATCGTACATCATGATAACCTTTACCCTATTATGGCCAAATCGTACGTCATGATAACCCTTATCCTATTATGGCTCAAATCGTACGTCATGGTTGTCATATAGCTTGTAAAGTTGGCTATTCACTACTCCAGAGTTATTATAGTTATGATGTCGTCAAAGATGCTGTCAGCAGCTCTAGTTGGACGTTGGAACGGGAGCAATAGATCCACTGTAATTATCTGCCATCAATGTTCATAGCTGTTTTGGCTTAGGGGTTAATGCTTGGATAAAGATAGGATACAGCTTCAACATGTAGCTTTGTACATTCTGATAAACCATTGATATACGAGCACGAAGGCCAAGTTTCCTAGCTCTGTCAGCATCTATATTCACTGTTTTCTTGGTTCTAAGGGTGAAAGCTTGGATATTATTTCGGTAGTGTATAGGAATGTACCTTGTCTAGAAACTAGAAGCAACTTTGAAATGCGTCATGCCTCCACTACATACATGGATAGTTATTTTCCTTCCACCGTACGGTTACCATCAGATCAGTCCAAGTTATGTAGTGAATACTAATTCCATTTAATTATCTAGTGTTTCAGCTGTTCGCGCACTCCTGTTTCACACAGCATTCAAGCAAATACCACGAAGCATGCTTATCAAGAAAATCTTTCCTTTGCAATTTGTTTGAGGTCAAATTTCAGATCGACTCATTCAACTACACTCATATACTATTTCAAGCGTCGTAAAATACATCTAAATTATACTCGACCAGCAGAACGTAATACTAAGGAGAACCACATAACGGTAAACGCTGTAGTTTGGTAGATTCGCTGGGTAATTAATAACCTTGCAGCACATACCCGGAGTACTGTAGATGAACAGGTTAAGTCTGACGACAACCTCTAAAGTCGCTCTGTAACACGTCCAAGGCAGGATATCCCCGAAGACAGAATCAGCCTAACAGTTGAACCGGTCCCGTCCCTCCCATTAGCAGACTGTCTAGCACAATACAGGACACAAGTCAATTGGAGATACAGCAGGATGTATTTCTTTCTTTTCCTCCGACTGACTTGGTTCAGCTTTTGTCACACACCACTGCTCTGAAAAGTGAAAGCAGAGATCGTAACATGACGCTTTTAGGTTAATGCGTCCGTCTGTCATGATGCTAGTTCGCAGTCCATTTCCGGTGTCCCCTGCCCAGATGTTGACGCATAGGGGTGGTGAAAGAGGCGTGAAACATGCTTCACTGGGTGTCATGATGTTTGGTTCTCATATTCATGACACTGATTTGTTTTCAGTCCACCGGCCTCGGTTACAGCCCACTCTTCTTCATGTTCCCCGTCGCGGTAGCATCGTCATTCGCCTTCATGTTACCAATAGCAACGCCACCCAACGCCATCGTGTTCTCCTATGGAAATGTGGGCGTGGTGGACATGGTGAGCTAATTCCATCTGGGCAGAAACAATTAACAGACATTACACAACACCGTCCACCCTCCGTCCATTGCAGGATTCTAGGAGCTGGTCCGTGATCACCTTTCTGGTTAACATACAATCGTTAGTGCTCGGTATATCAACCACTGGTTCGTGATCACCGTTCTGGTTAACATACAATCGTTAGTGCTCGGTATATCAAGCACTGTTTCGTGATCACCGTTCTGGTCAACATACAATCGTTAGTGCTCGGTATATCAAGCACTGTTTCGTGATCACCGTTCTGGTTAACATACAATCGTTAGTGCTCGGTATATCAACCACTGTTTCGTGATCACCGTTCTGGTAAACATACAATCGTTAGTGCTCCGTACATCAAGCACTGTTTCGTGATCACCGTTCTGGTTAACATACAATCGTTAGTGCTCGGTACATCAACCAATGGTTCGTGATCACCGTTCTGGTTAACATACAATCGTTAGTGCTCGGTATATCAACCACTGGTTCGTGATCACCGTTCTGGTTAACATACAATCGTTAGTGCTCGGTATATCAAGCACTGGTTCGTGATCACCGTTCTGGTTAACATACAATCGTTAGTGCTCGGTATATCAACCACTGTTTCGTGATCACCGTTCTGGTAAACATACAATCGTTAGTGCTCCGTACATCAACCACTCTTTCGTGATCACCGTTCTGGTTAACATACAATCGTAAGTGCTCGGTATATCAACCACTGGTCCGTGATCACCGTTCTGGTTAACATACAATCGTTAGTGCTCGGTATATCAAGCACTGGTTCGTGATCACCGTTCTGGTTAACATACAATCGTTAGTGCTCGGTATATCAACCGCTGGTTCGTGATCACCGTTCTGGTTAACATACAATCGTTAGTGCTCGGTATATCAAGCACTGGTCCGTGATCACCGTTCTGGTTAACATACAATCGTTAGTGCTCGGTACATCAAGCACTGGTTCGTGATCACCGTTCTGGTTAACATACAATCGTTGGTGCTCGGTATATCAACCACTGGTTCGTGATCACCGTTCTGGTTAACATACAATCGTTAGTGCTCGGTATATCAACCACTGGTTCGTGATCACCTTTCTGGTTAACATACAATCGTTAGTGCTCGGTACATCAAGCACTGGTTCGTGATCACCGTTCTGGTTAACATACAATCGTTGGTGCTCGGTACATCAACCACTGTTTCGTGATCACCTTTCTGGTTAACATACAATCGTTAGTGCTCGGTACATCAAGCACTGTTTCGTGATCACCGTTCTGGTTAACATACAATCGTTAGTGCTCGGTACATCAAGCACTGGTTCGTGATCACCGCTCTGGTTAACATACAATCGTTAGTGCTCGGTACATCAAGCACTGGTTCGTGATCACCGTTCTGGTTAGCATACAATCGTTAGTGCTCGGTATATCAACCACTGGTTAGTGATCACCGTTCTGGTTAACATACAATCGTTAGTGCTCGGTACATCAAGCACTGGTTCGTGATCACCGTTCTGGTTAGCATACAATCGTTAGTGCTCGGTATATCAAGCACTGTTTCGTGATCACCGTTCTGGTTAACATACAATCGTTAGTGCTCGGTATATCAAGCACTGGTTCGTGATCACCTTTCTGGTTAACATACAATCGTTAGTGCTCGGTATATCAAGCACTGGTTCGTGATCACCGTTCTGGTTAACATACAATCGTTAGTGCTCGGTATATCAACCACTGGTTCGTGATCACCGTTCTGGATAACATACAATCGTTAGTGCTCGGTATATCAACCGCTGGTTCGTGATCACCTTTCTGGTTAACATACAATCGTTAGTGCTCGGTATATCAACCGCTGGTTCGTGATCACCGTTCTGGTAAACATATAATCGTTAGTGCTCGGTATATCAAGCACTGGTTCGTGATCACCGTTCTGGTTAGCATACAATCGTTAGTGCTCGGTATATCAAGCACTGTTTCGTGATCACCTTTCTGGTTAACATACAATCGTTAGTGCTCGGTATATCAAGCACTGGTTCGTGATCACCTTTCTGGTTAACATACAATCGTTAGTGCTCGGTATATCAAGCACTGTTTCGTGATCACCGTTCTGGTTAACATACAATCGTTAGTGCTCGGTATATCAACCACTGGTTAGTGATCACCGTTCTGGTTAACATACAATCGTTAGTGCTCGGTATATCAACCGCTGGTTCGTGATCACCTTTCTGGTTAACATACAATCGTTAGTGCTCGGTATATCAACCGCTGGTTCGTGATCACCGTTCTGGTAAACATATAATCGTTAGAGCTCGGTATATCAACCACTGGTTCGTGATCACCGTTCTGGTAAACATATAATCGTTAGTGCTCGGTATATCAACCGCTGGTTCGTGATCACCGTTCTGGTAAACATATAATCGTTAGAGCTCGGTATATCAACCGCTGGTTCGTGATCACCTTTCTGGTTAACATACAATCGTTAGTGCTCGGTATATCAACCGCTGGTTCGTGATCACCGTTCTGGTAAACATATAATCGTTAGTGCTCGGTATATCAACCACTGGTTTGTGGAGCCCTAACTCCACTATATACAGGCTGCCATGCTTCGGCTGAAATATTGTCAAGTATGCTGGTAATCAGCATTGTCTATAAAAGATGCCTTCTATTGAAACAGATTTCTAATTGAAATACAGTCATTTTATTACCTTTTAAGCAGAACACATTCGTTATAAGGTTAAAACATCTCATACATGCTTTTTTCACAGGCGAGTTGCGGTTTCATCATGAACATATTATCCGTCCCTGTCATCGTGTTTGCGACATCAACGTGGGGGAACGCTTTCTTTGACCTCACCACCCTTCCCGCGGGGTTTCTACAAGGAGCTATGACCAACTCCCCCTTGAACGTCTCAATCTCCAACTCGACGAACTGAATACTGATCGTAACGTCAGCATGTGAAATAGATCCAATAAACATGTCTAATGTAAAGTCGTTCTGATTACTGATTGTGATTCTGGTTTGATCAAATAAACCCAGAAATATCAAGACTTAACATACAAACAATCAGAATCAATGTCATCTCGCGTTCGGTGCAATGTTCTTTGTTTGTGTCACCAGTAAATAGTTGGATTACAAAGAGAACTGAAACTTACAAAATCAGTGCAATATATCAATTTTTGTTCCCACAATTCTTACTACTGCTGTGTTATTAGTTAATATTATAACTGAAGTGATTCCCAACTTGTCACGCAGCGGTTAACCCAGAATTACATCTAAAATCAATCCATTATATTGTGAACCTTCCAAGAGCTTTTTGTCCTCCACAGCCCCCTTCAGGAACAAGCCTGTACCACGACAAGACCTCAATTATGTAGAACATACTTTCATCTAATCTGTTTGGTTGGCATTTTAGAAGTTGATGAATGGTAAGAAAGATAGGAGACTTTATGGAAGACAAGTTCTACATGATATGATCATGCAACGTTTCGGTATATGTTCTTATACCGTTGTCAAGCAGGATTGAAGTACTACAGCACAGGACAGACTTATATACAGCAACAGGGATTAAGTGAAAACAACATGAAGGTATGAAGCAAGGGGATTAACAGCTACAATGGCTGGTGGTACTAATGCAGTGACAATAGGAGGAAGCTAACTGTCCATGAGGCAGATTTCCAGTCTGCTTTTGTGGTAGATGATAAGTGATCTTTGATTCTGATGGTTATGGGACGAGAAGTTTCACTTACATAGGCCTCGCTACAGTTACAGTTGATTGTGTAGACAACACCTTTCGTTTGATGTTGTCGTTTTGCGTTGTTTCTGCAATAGTAGTGTTTTCAGTGGTGTAGAGCTGGTAAATTAGGTTTCATGTCTGCTTGTCGACTCAGGAGACGGCTGATGTGGTGGGAGGCCTTCCCTATTCCAACATCAACGTCGAGCAACCCCAGAGACCCCTAAGCATACAGGGGAATAACTCTAGCACCTGTGATATATAAGATATATCGTGGCATTTTAAACACCCGTTTGACAGAATGGGCAGAGAAGAATGACATCTTATGTGACGAGCAAAATGGTTTCAGAAAGCGAAGATCAACGATAGATCTCATAAGCACAATTACATCATTGATTGAGGGAAGAAAACTGATGAGAAAACCAACTTCTGCAGCCTTCATTGATTGTAGAAAGGCCTACGATGGAATCGACAGAACTAAGCTCTGGAGGAGACTCGATCAGTACGGAGTCCAAGGCCGGATGCTGAAAGCTATCACTTCCCTGTACCAGAATTTACAGTGCTCAGTCCGCATCAACAGAGTTCACAGTACTGGTTGCTTCAATGTCAACAGAGGGCTAAAGCAAGGTTGTCTACTCTGGCCGCTACTTTTCAAGCTGTATATAGATGACTTGGTGAGGACAGTGAAAGCTCTGGGTAAATGTGTACAGATAGGAGATGAAGTAGTGGGCATATTAGCACGTCCGGACGATGTGGTACTACTTGCGGAAAACGAGGAGGATTTGCAGTGTATCCTATCAACGTTAGATGTGTGGTGCCGCCAAGATAAGAGTTGTGCACTTTAGAGGCCCCTCGGTCCCAGGTTCAACGACAGTGTTCATGTGTGGTGAGGTGAGACTGGACTTGTGTGAGAGTTACCACTACCTCGACTATAACTGAACACCTCGAACTGTACGGCAAAGAATGCAGTAAAGGCGGCCAATAGATCCCTGGGACTCTTAATTTCCAAGTTCAAAGCCATGGGAGGTATGCCCTTCAACGTTTACAACATGCTGTACGATACCATGGTGTGGTCAGTGTTGAACTACGGAGCTTCTATCTGGGGAACGATAGAACACTCTCCATCACAGAGGTGTTGGGAGGTATGCCCTTCAACGTTTACACCAAGCTGTACGATACCATGGTGTGGTCAGTGTTGAACTACGGGTATCTGGGGAACGATAGAGCACTCTCCATCACAGAGGTGTTGGGAGGTATGCCCTTCAACGTTTACACCAAGCTGTACGATACCATGGTGTGGTCAGTGTTGAACTACGGAGCTTCTATCTGGGGAACGATAGAACACTCTCCATCACAGAGGTGTTGGGAGGTATGCCCTTCAACGTTTACACCAAGCTGTACGATACCATGGTGTGGTCAGTGTTGAACTACGGAGCTTCTATCTGGGGAACGATAGAGCACTCTCCACCACAGAGGTGTTGGGAGGCATGCCCCGAATATGGCAGTAAATGGTGAAAGTGGATGGGAACCACCTATAGTGAGGCAGTGGGTAGCAGTGACCAGACACTCGGCTAAACTGGTCAACTTCACACCGAGAAGGCTTAACAGAAGAATCTTTGAGTGGACTGAAAATTGCAAGAAGAAGACGTGGAATTCCAGAGTAACCTCACATTTACGGAAGTTGGAATTGGACGATTTCTGTGACACAGACTCTTACATAGAATGGATTTTTTTTGTTCGGCTTGTACGTGAAGCAGTCTCCAGTTCCGCTGAGACGTGACCACCGAAGTGCCTATGCCCAATTCTGATGTGGGATAGCACCGCTACACGTAGAGACTAGCCGCTACAGTAACACACCACTCCAAGACCGTTTCTGCTGTGATTACAGCGTCGAGGACGAAAAACATGTTCTTTTAGTTTGTCCTTTATACGAGGACATCAGATCCACACTTTTTACCTATTGTAGAAACAACTATGTGGGTTTTACCCGCAAAACAATGGATGAGAAGTTTATATCTATTTTATCCTGTCCCGACCTAGCTTTTTATGCTTCCAAGGCTTGCCATGACATTTGACAGCTTTTATACGCTTAATAGTTGTATTCGCTTTTCACAAGTGTGTATTTATATTCTATATTTGATCATGAATTTATTTTTGTATATGTATTTTATGTCTCACATAAATTACTTAGTGTTGGTCGTAGTTATTTTGTATATATTTTAATGTATATGGATTATTATGTATGCTACGAGTGAGACAGTAATAAACTCTTCTACTATGAAGTGGGGCGACATACGAAGGGGTACTGGCCCGGTGTTTTGTTGCATGAAGAGTGATGATGATAATGTCGAATAGCTTTGACGGGTAATGTTGAACTGCATTACTACCAATATCCTTTGTTGTTGTTGTTGTTGTTAATCCGTTTGATGCATACCTTCATCCATATAGTATCTCACTATTCTCACCTAGAAGCTACTTACATACTTGTGGAAGATACAAAATAGACGTTAAGTCCTACTCCACCTCTACCATTGTGTGATGGAAGCCAGACAAACGTGAAGTATCATCACCCGTGTGACGTGAATCTGATCACAGGGATAAGCCTTGTGTAACCATGGCCTTTTAAGAAGGCTGTACACATTATGACATGATACTTACCTTGCGGATATAAATGAGATTCACAATGTCTTACTCTGTAATGTCATCGTGACATAATCTATTTTAAGACGGCAATTGACTAAACGAAGTAAACACCTCACAGTAAACCTTTCCCGCCGCCATAAGCTTCACAACAGAGCTGTGGTGTAGTCTCGATAATCGTGATACTTTATCTGACGATATATATAACATTATTACCCACGAGGTCAACGTATGGGTAGTTGCATACTAATCTCGTACGTCACACGAGTGTCGTATCGGGTTCACCTGTGTCGTAACGACTTGACCTGAGATTCTAACGATTTGATTGGATAACCGATGACCTCTCGATTAGGTCACATTCTGACGTAACTATTTTTTCATTCATAACAAACACGTGAAATCATTAATTCTACAACTTAAATGCATTGTGGGAATGTAAACAATGTCGCTGTTTTATTGTGAGTCAAACTGAGACATTATATCCGTCGAAAAACATAAACGCAATGTTTCCACCAGTGATGTTAGCCGAATGAAGCAACTGGAAACCAAGAAACGAGGTGCTACGGAGTAGTTTACTGTAGGAGGCTGTACGAGGCGATGACAACTGACATGCATCGCGACGTCGGTTACCAAGGCAGTGACATCATTACAGTGTGACGTAATGCAAATGTTGGACTACAATACAAAACTCTTCCGCAAACTCTTTATGAAACCGGTTTCGGTTTGAAACCAAAAGCATAACAAAAATACGCTATTTTGTCAATTTAATGCATGTAAAACGTGGGTAATAAATAAAATACCACACTCGGTCTCATTACATACGAATTATACGAAACTCGTGACCTTCCTATGTTACCTGACCTCGCTTTCGCTCGGTCAGATACCCTAGGAAGGACACTCGTTTCGTATAATTTGTATGAATGGGACCTCGTGTAGTATTCTCTATATACGTTTTTCGTATCGTGATATGCATCGTTGACCTTAGAATTGTCACATTTCACTAGAAATGGACGGTCATGTCAAAAGTTACACTGTTACTTGCTTTCAAAATATACTTTTTTCACAAAAATAACTCAAGATAGCATATCGTGATATGCATCGAATCGAATCGTCTCGTTTCATGAATTCGCGATACGTATCGTACCGTGAAATTTCTGTATCGTCACTAGAGCTGTGATGTAGTATCGATAATCGTGATATTTCATCTGACGATAAATATATCAAACTTTGTTCGTATCGCGATATGTATCGTTGACCTTAAAATTGTTAATATTCACTAGAAATTGACTAGTAATTTTGCTATCAAAATATACTTTTTACTAAAGATAGCATATCGTGATATGCATCGAATCGTTCTAAGATATCGCGATAAGTATCGTATCGTGACATTTCCGAATCGTCACACCTCTTATCGTCACACCTTAGCTCACAACAATTAGCAGCCTTGAGTGTCACAGTATTCGGTGTTCTAGCCAGCAACATATCCATCAACTGACATGGAATCGATGTGTCGGCATTGAAACTTTTGACTTGATGAAATCACAAATGAAAAGCATGTTGAAAGGCAAGTTCAACTGTTATAAAGTTTTACCTGTCACTAAAGAACGAGTTATATCTTAAA